TATTCTGGTGATGAATTGCACTGGTGTGTCTCGTTCCCTATGTCCACATAGTGCGATCAGTTCGGTGATGATTGAGGAGCGTGTTTGCACGGAGAATTGGTTGGTATTCGCCAATTGCGTTGTCAAACAACATAGTGGAATATCGAGTCTGACAGTTGATCAATTCAACGCGTCAAATGTGTTGTGGGTGAGAATGAGGTCATCAGGGAGTGAGTGCGAGAGTTAGGACGTGTGGAATGTGTGAAGAGAGTGTTTGACACAGTGGTGTATAGTGTAAATTCGAATGGAGTGTGGTGGAATTGACGTGTGGTAGTGGACAGTGGACGTGTAGTCGTTGGATGGAGAGATGATTGTGGAGTGGTATATTGCGACAGGGATTGAGAGTAATCCGGGTGTGTGTTGGTGGAGTAGTTGTACAGTGTGAATGTATTGATGGATGTGTGACGAAGCGAGTGTTGATGTTGTTGATGTGTTTCGTCAAAGGTGGGAAGCGCCTCCGGGTGGGCTCGAACCACCAACCTTTCGGTTAACAGCCGAACGCGCTAACCGGTTGCGCCACGGAGGCGACATTCGTCGAACCCACACAGACCATACCACAACACAATATCAACTCACATCGCACACAACAACCAGCAACAAAACAAACACAATCACTAGCATGACCACCATTACACAAACACTGACACCAACTATAATACCAATTTCACACCACCAACACCAACACCAGCACAAATACGACACCAGCACAACCAACACCACCGCCACCGCAACCATCAGCACAACAACGACATCATCATTCACAACAACCGCAACACACACTCACACATCACCCAATACACATACACGAGTTATCACTCAATCGATCACTCCCTCACTCTACCTCACACACTCGAAAGCACACCAAAACACTCACATTCACAACTGTCACGACAATCACCGACGTCACCGACGTCACCGACGCACACATTTTCACACATCTCGACACAATCAACATTGCAACGCCGATCGTCACAACACAAGTCTATACACTCAAAAGTCAAATCGCCGACAACTCGTCACGTACTTCATTCACGTCATCCAACGTCGCGCTTTTGTAAACGTTTACTTTTCTTCTTCTCTGACGTATTTTCTCATATTTTTTCTTTCTCTTTGTTTAGGTTTTTGGCAATTGCTTATCTTTCCGGTTTTGTGTGGTCGCTCCTGCTTTCCCTGTATGTAGTTTATGAGTAGCTGACTTTCTGACTGCCTGTATTGTGTCATATGACGTCTCATTTGTGTTCATTCGTAACAAAATCAATTTAAATTCAGTACCATCAATTTTACGAGTTCCATACATGTGTTAGAATAGTCGGAAAAATAGACCAATCATTATGATGTTAAGTCCAATGGTGTCCTTGGACTTTAAATGTACATTTCCTATTGGTCGATGTTTACTTCACTTGTTAAATATTGTACAAATGTTGTTTCCTATTTTATGGTACGATGTGGTTTGTTTGCTTGGTATATAAATAGAGTATGTTTGAAATACAATGATTCATAGCTCAGAGGCTGTGACTTGTGTTCGTGACTCAACTGGCTGGGCTAGACAGCGAAGCAGGGCCAATCAGGGCACTAGGTCGTCCACTGCGTGTTTACGTGTCACTGTCCACTGTAATCGATCGATCGATAGAACGCTGCGTATCAAAGACCTGCAGTCACACACGTTACTACAACATGCATACACGAGCGATATCTGCTGTGTAGATAGGTTTTCTACACTTTACTTAAGCATACTTGATTCTGGTGTTTGTTGCTTTTCGCTGAGCTTCTATAAATACACTGAAGGAGATTGTTGCTAAAGCACATGGTATGAAATTCTGTTCGATTTCCCATTATATTGTGTGTCGTTTATGCACCTTTTATATGAATATAGAACAACGTTGTAATTTCATAAGTAGTATCCCTTACTATAAGATTGTTCTTATCAACTCCTTAGGTGAAGCAGCAGGTACTACGAACTGTATCAACAGGAACATAAGACGTAAATATGCATTGTCTTTTATGAATAAACTCTCAATTCAACGACGTTGGTTATGTTGCTTGTAGTACTACGGATTAATGTGGTATTTATACTATTCTTTTGTACCTGATCGCGTGCTGATTACGAGTTGCAAATATAATACGTCCAGTTGTGCTTATTTAGATTTACATGCCTTTAGTTACACTATACTGTGAATTCTTAGCAAGTCAATTTGAATACTTCTAGTCATCATAATTAAGTATTTTGCAACAGTTAGTGGCATTGGCAAAGTAGCTGTAGGTTACATCTTGTAGTACGTATCCAAAAGCTATTCGCCTTAACTCCAATTATCCGGTATATCTGTCAGTTGGGCATTATTTTCTCCAAGTAATTGGAAACGTACAAACCGTCCTACTAACGCCTTGATAGTATAGTGTGATGTGACCCCTATTGCGGATGACAGGCAGACGACTACTTCACCTAACGAGCATCACAGACCTGGTCCCATATAAATGTCGACATGAAAATGTAATGAAATATGAGTGTGTGAAGTGGACGTTGACGATAATGACTATGAATGTCTGGTGTGACTGCGTGTTTGCAATCGAATATCACAGCAGTAAACAATTTACCGACATACGATTAACGGGACGTTTTACCACTTGGATTAGCTATAAACATGTCCGTTGAAATGTTGCATGCATCTTTATTTCGATAGCGGCTTGCCGGTTCCAAGTTTAGTTAGTAGTACATGGAACATCAATAAGAGAAAAGCTGTATTTCAACTGAATACACCGCTGTATGAGGCATAAATATATATTGGTAGATGGGGGATATTGGTGATACATGAATAGTAGATCATGTACAAATAACTCGGATGTATCTAACCCACACAATGAATCAATTGTCAATGTTATGTCGTATGGGAAGTAGTAGAAAATATCAGCAGACCGAATTTCCAGCTGTTCAGGAAGTGAATAACGTCCTGTAGGTCTGAGCTGTTAACAATTGATTAGTCACGTAGAAGTGCCCATTGTTATGTTTGTCCTAGCCCTTAGCACTGATCGAATTCGCGTGATCGACTTATAGACCAGATCGTTTGCAGAAATAACTGTCTACATATCACAGCGGCAAACGAAACACTACATTACACTTGACACGAGATGATTCGATCACTGGAAGGTAACCTGAGGATCTCTAAACTAAATTCCCAAAATATCGAGTGCTATGAAAATGATGATAGTTCGAACGAAACTAAAAAATTAGGCAATCTTTCTATCAACCGAGATTATCTACCGTAAACTGAGTAAAAATAATGAAAGACGGGTGTACGAATGTAGAGTTAGTTTGTGCATGATTTGTTTGTGAATGTGAACAATTCGTAAGAAAGACTAGGGATGAGAGATTTGCGTATGACAACTACATTACTTAAGAGTAACTAGAAGTGAGTTGCACAATTCTCTTAGTTTATTTCATTGATTAATTGTTAACTAATCAGTTATTGATTGCTTAATGTATTACCTACTCGTCCGACTACATTGACTGGTCAGTTTTCTATTTGTCTGCACTGAAACTTTGCAGTTCTCGCTGAGTTAAAAACCACGAAGGATTTTTTTGCAAAACAATATGTTTAAGGAGAAGCCATGACAGTTTGTGACCTACCAACTCCGGATGCTTAACTTCGGTGGACTTGAAAAAGTATTTAACAGAAATTCCTAACTTTAGAATGCTATTATTATTATTGTTACTGTTATTAACACACACAAAAAAGCATCTCTTATCCGATATACAATTAAATTACACTTGAACGTACTTGATGTTGTAAATTTGTGGGATCCCTAGCAGCCACTGGAACAGCACTACCATATACATGTAATTCACGTACAATAGAACAACAAAGATCTTCATTACCTTGAAAATCATTATCATCATCACTAATATAACGTGTTGCGGTGAACACTTTCTTAAACGTTATAAACCTATCAATGTGTCTTGATACAGATCCTCATAGGCTAAAAATGTCTCTCAACCACCATTTGCAACATAATCTCTACAAACAAGTTCAACCTGTATTGAATGAATAGAAGTACGTTTAGAAGGAAAAAGAGCAGAAGAAGAACAAGAACATGAAGGAACACGTCGAAGATGAACAGAGCTAAACAACAAACAAACAGCTCAAGACGTTCATTGGAATATGCTAAAGGAATATACTCATTTAGTCATAAAATAAGAAAGATTGGTTCAGTCAACAGTGCTCTGTTCGTACAGTTGATTTTCAAAGCTATAAAACTATATATATATCAACTCATATCGCACACAAAACCCAGCAACAAAACAAATACAATCACTAGCACAACCACCATTGCACACTGACGCCAACTGCAATACCACTTTTTCGTCACCAACAACAACATCATTCACAACAACCGGAATACCCACATCACCTAATACTCATACACATACACGTACACAAGGAATGACTTACTCCTTCAGTAAACCTCAAACTCAAAAAGTATATCATCATAATATGTTGCTGAAAATTTCCCTCTCAATTTTTTTTACTGCAAAGATTTGTTACGCCGATTTCTTAACTTATTTGATAGGCAAGTGGTATTTGTTTAAATAAAACCACTTTTATCCACTTCTCTGTAAGCCTAATCTTCTTAACCAGTGTGTAATAAGCGGAAGGAAAGGAGAATTGTGGTATTTGAAATGAGGCTAGGTATTATCGCTCTCTAGTTACACAATCCTCGTATATTGTCGGTATAATCCAGTCAGCAGTCCTGAGGTTATGTACAGAGTACTGAAGAAATATAGTAAAGCGGCTGATATGATTATTAATCTTCATCAAGTGATGTGCTCGAGACATGTGTTATATATGTCTAATTACCATCTACGTCAATATGCGGTGTTAGCAGGTAATCATAAGAAATAATAACAATGATAATATCAATAATACCAATTAACTAACGAATAATGTTAAGAAAAAGAAAAGTGATATTTATTTCTTAGCAAATGTAATTTGCATAGCATGAGTCGGTGTCAGTTTAAATCCTTCATAAGCAGACCGCGCAGCAGCAGCTTGTGATTCAGTATCATATTCGACAAAGCCAACTCCACCAGCAGCGCGTCTAGCCTCTTTAAATCCCGAGAATTGACTAAATAACATTGTAAGCATAGCATCAGTAGTTTCTTCTGGTAAATTGCTAACAAATAAAATATGATTTGGTTGATCTAACAATGCATTGATATCTCCACCGGTACCCGCCTAAAAGAGATTTGACAAAAGTGATGGAGTGTATTTTAAAATATTTATTGGGGAAAAAATTAAAACGGTTTTTTTTAAAACACGTGAATTAGTACCATGGTCCAAGTCATCAACACATCATACATCTAATCAAGTAAGAAAGCGCGGAGTGTTAGTTTTCGTAAGATGCTAACGTATAGTCACATGATTATAAGTTCTGCCAGGAAGGTCCTATTAACTGCGTCCTTGTGGCGCAGGTATTTTCTACAAAATTGGGAGGAAGGAAAGTGGCTCTTAAATCAACCGGGCTAGTGAATACGGAAGGCTCAACCAAGGAAGTTGAACGATTATGTGCAAGTGCTCCAGGAATGGGGTGTATGAACTCATTTTGGTTACCGCCTACCATGAAAACGTATCACATGATGTTGTGCCACTGTTTTGTGGAGTAAATTCAGGGTTAAAGGCCCGAGGAATGGGGCCCTAAGAAAATTACCTGCTTCTCATAACATGGATTATTAGATTATGCTTTATATTTGCATTATAGCACGTAGAGTGTTAAGCTGTTAATCAATAAATAGACATTTTATCAGTGTATGTATGAGCTTACCTACATTTTTAGTTATGCTAATGACACTGTAGCAGACCCATACTATGCATGCTTACGTAGATACCTATTGTTATCTGAAAAGGCAAAAAGCCTGACAATTATATATATGACATCTTTAATCCGTTTATTGTATTGAATGTATAGATACAAAAACTGACTGATGATGACTTAGAATTCGCCTGTTTAATGAAGACACCGACAAAGTTCAGTCCTTTGACTAACTTAAGCAATAATGAAAGCATGTTTTCAGTACGATTTCCTCCAATTAAATGCGAAATGCTGCTTCAGGATTGCTCTGCCTCAGTACTTGGAATGATAGTGAGTGAAGTGGAGAGGCACGTCGATAACTTCACTCACCTTGGAAGTCTCATCAAACCTGGTGCTTTGATGTCTGACGAAATCTCGGGATAAAATTAGAAAACTCAGCTGGTTTATGACAACTACCAGCTGTCAAAATTTTGCCGGTGAATTCGCTCTTCGTCCCTGTTTAAAACCTCAGTCCCAAAATATTCTTATACCTTCCGTTTAGTTTTTTCTATACCTAATTTCTACTATTACTACTACTGTAGTAGACAAAAACTCAGGTGGAGAAGATCAATTTATTGTTTAATGCAAAATTACCGAGTTTACTCGTAAGATATGAAAACCATACATCAAATACGTAATTTGCACATCTTCCAACAGTTGTCCTTTACATCATTCTTGATTCTTTTAGTTCCGTTGTCATTACGATTACTTTCTGTTTTCGTTAATTGAATCTTCCCAATCTTCTGCAGAAATGCATTTCACTTACGATCGGTGCTACATACTGCTTATATATGTCAACATAAGTAGCATCTACCACACTACTACTGATACTGTTACTGCTCCGCTGCTCTGGGGTGTCTTTAAATAATTCTATCTCGCTGTCCTAATTTGGTGTGGCAACTTCAACCAAAGCAAATGTGTTAGGTTCTAATTTGCGTATGACTGGTTGACTGATATGAACTGAGTGTAGCTCATTAGAGGTCTCATGCTAGCATTTCGAGTTGTGAGTGTCAAATTGTCTTGCTCACACGATGTTATTGGTCATTATCGACTGGTTTCATCATTAAATGTAAGTGAACTGTATATGCTTACTGAGTTGTCGGTTCACTTTTCCTCTTATTCGTCTCTTTTCCAGCTTTCTTCAAGCACGCTGCTCTCTGTGCCCCCCCCCATAACACAGAGTACCTTCAGGCTGAACGTGAATCACTACACTGACTCAATGATCTATCCCTCAAGTCAATCAGCATACAGAATGATTTGATTGTAAAGTCAATTCAATCAATACCATGATTAGTCAGTATACCATTCTACACCCTTTCTACAATCTCTGTACATTACCCCAATAATTTGTCAAAACAATTTGTATGAAATAAACATATTTCCCAAAACGTATTTCATATTAGACATTTAACATCAAGTTATCTCTGAAATCGCTACGCAACGTCATTATAAGTAATATATTTGAAATTGACTTGGAATTATAATAGATGAAGTCGGATGCATTTCCAATACAACTTAAATATTATAATTCTGAATACAATCAAGACAAAAAAAAATAACTGTGTATTTCACTGATATACACAATATGATAGGAAAAAATTGTAGCTCAGTTAAACATATATGGTGATGATAAGTAAACTGGGCGATATGATTTATTTATGAATCTTTCACTATCCTTCAGTCAGTCAGTCAGCTACAACGTAGGATCAGGCACATATATGCATCGGTCCAAGTTACCATACCTCATTAATACAACAAGATGAACACCGGATTCACAAAAGTAGTTAATTCAGAGGTGGTGATATACAAAAGAAAGATTGCATATAAGGATATAGCACAGGAAGAAAGAATTACTTCATAAAAAGAAAGATATGAAGCGATTTTAATCTCTTAATTTAAGGGAAGACAGAGAGTGCATACACCGACGCCAATGTGGTCGATTCTAAGCCATGTCACCAAGAGTCTCCAACCATTGGTTACGATAGTCACGCAGACCGCAATCAAGTAGTCTACATCTACCAACATGGTTAGACTAGAAGTTTGTGACTTCAAGCACTGGTGTCACGTTTTGGTTTGGCCACCCCTAACTTTATTCCAACCATCCCCAACACTAGTCAGAATTGAACGTCGTTGTAATTGGTGTTCAGGCATACGTAACACGTGACCCAACCATCTCAGTCGATGAAGATT